ATCTCCAAAACGTGAAAAACCAGTGGCATCTACATCTGCAGAACGTGAAGAACCAGTGGTGTCTAAATCTGCAGAACGTGAAGAACCAGTGGCATCTACATCTACAGAACGTGAAGAACCAGTGTCATCTACATCTGCAGAACGTGAAGAACCAGTGTCATCTACATCTACAGAATGTGAAGAACCAGTGTCATCTACATCTGCAGAACGTGAAGAACCAGTGGTGTCTAAATCTGCAGAACGTGAAGAACCAGTGGCATCTACACCTGCAGAACATGAAGAACCAGTGGCATCTACATCTATAGAACGTGAAGAACCAGTGGCATCTACATCTATAGAACATGAAGAACCAGTGGCATCTACATCTACAGAATTTGAAGAACCAGTGGCATCTACATCTATAGAACGTGAAGAACCAGTGGCATCTACATCTACAGAACGTGAAGAACCAGTGGCATCTACACCTGCAGAACATGAAGAACTAGTGGCACCTACATCTATAGAACGTGAAGAACCAGTGGCATCTACACCTGCAGAACATGAAGAACCAGTGGTATCTACATCTACAGAACGTGAAGAACCAGTGGCATCTACACCTGCAGAACATGAAGAATCAGTGGCATCTACATCTATAGAAGGCGAAGAACCAGTGGCATCTACATCTATAGAACGTGAAGAACCAGTGGTATCTACATCTATAGAACGTGAAGAACCAGTGGCATCTACATCTATAGAACGTGAAAAACCAGTGGTATCTACATCTACAGAACGTGAAGAACCAGTGGCATCTACATCTATAGAACGTGAAGAACCAGTGGCATCTACATCTACAGAACGTGAAGAACCAGTGGCATCTACATCTACAGAACATGAAGAACTAGTGGCATCTACATCTACAGAACGTGAAGAACCAGTGGTACCTACATCTGCAGAATGTGAATAACCAGTGTTACCTACATCTATAGAACGTGAAAAACCAGTGGCATCTACATCTGCAAAACGTGAAGAATCAGTGGCATCTACATCTATAGAACGTGAAGAACCAGTGACATCTACATCTCCAAAACGTGAAGAACCAGTGGCATCTACATCTACAGAACGTGAAGAACCAGTGGCATCTACATCTACAGAACGTGAAGAACCAGTGACATCTACATCTCCAAAACGTGAAGAACCAGTGGCATCTACATCTACAGAACGTGAAGAACCAGTGGTATCTACATCTATAGAACGTGAAGAACCAGTGTCATTTACACCTGCAGAACATGAAGAACTAGTGGCATCTACATCGACAGAATGTGAAAAACCAGTGGTATCTACATCTACAGAATTTGAAGAACCAGTGGCATCTACATCGACAGAACGTGAAAAACCAGTGGCATCTACATCTACAGAACATGAAGAACCAGTGGCATCTACATCTACAGAACGTGAAGAACCAGTGGCATCTACACCTGCAGAACATGAAGAACTAGTGGCATCTACATCTACAGAACGTGAAGAACCAGTGGCATCTACATCTGCAGAACGTGAAGAACCAGTGGCATCTACATCTACAGAATTTGAAGAACCAGTGGCATCTACATCTACAGAACGTGAAGAACCAGTGGCTTCCACATCTGCAGAACGTGAAGAACCAGTGGTATCTACATCTGCAAAACGTGAAGAACCAGTGGCATCTACAACTACAAAACGTGAAGAACCAGTGGCATCTACATCTACAGAACGTGAAGAACCAGTGGCATCTACATCTACAGAACGTGAAGAACCAGTGGCATCTATATCTACAGAACGTGAAGAACCAGTGGTATCTACATCTATAGAATGTGAATAACCAGTGGTATCTACATCTATAGAATGTGAATAACCAGTGGTATCTACATCTGCAGAACGTGAAGAACCAGTGGCATCTACATCTATAGAACGTGAAGAACCAGTGGCATCTACACCTGCAGAACGCGAAGAACCAGTGGCATCTACATCTACAGAACGTGAAGATACAGTGGTATCTACATCTACAGAACGTGAAGAATCAGTGGCATCTACATCTACAGAACGTGAAGAACCAGTGGCATCTACATCTGCAGAACGTGAAGAACCAGTGGTATCTACATCTACAGAACGTGAAAAACCAGTGACATCTACATCTCCAAAACGTGAAAAACCAGTGGCATCTACATCTATAGAACGTGAAAAACCAGTGACATCTACATCTCCAAAACGTGAAAAACCAGTGGCATCTACATCTATAGAACGTGAAGAACCAGTGACATCTACATCTCCAAAACGTGAAAAACCAGTGGCATCTACATCTATAGAACGTGAAAAACCAGTGACATCTACATCTCCAAAACGTGAAAAACCAGTGGCATCTACATCTATAGAACGTGAAGAACCAGTGACATCTACATCTCCAAAACGTGAAAAACCAGTGGCATCTACATCTGCAGAACGTGAAGAACCAGTGGTGTCTAAATCTGCAGAACGTGAAGAACCAGTAGCATCTACATCTACAGAACGTAAAGAACCAGTGGCATCTACACCTGCAGAACATGAAGAACCAGTGGCATCTACATCTACAGAACGTGGAGAATCAGTGGCATCTACATCTGCAGAATGTGAATAACCAGTAGTATCTACATCTATAGAACGTGAAGAACCAGTGGCATCTACATCTGCAGAACGTGAAGAACCAGTGGCATCTACATCTATAGAACGTGAAGAATCAGTGGCATCACCATCTATAGAACGTGAAGAACCAGTGACATCTACATCTCCAAAACGTGAAGAACCAGTGGCATCTACATCTACAGAACGTGAAGAACCAGTGGTATCTACATCTACAGAACGTGAAGAATCAGTGGCATCTACATCTATAGAACGTGAAAAACCAGTGGCATCTACATCTATAGAAGGCGAAGAACCAGTGGCATCCACATCTACATAACGTGAAGAATCAGTGGCATCTACATCTATAGAACGTGAAGAACCAGTGGCATCTACATCTATAGAAGGCGAAGAACCAGTGGCATCCACATCTACAGAACGTGAAGAAGCAGTGGCATCTATATCTACAGAACGTGAAGAATCAGTGGCATCTACATCTATATAATGTGAAGAAGCAGTGGCATCTACATCTACAGAACATGAAGAACCAGTGGCATCTACGTCTACAGAACATGAAGAACCAGTGGCATCTACATCTGCAGAACGTGAAGAGCCAGTGGCATCTACATCTGCAGAACGTGAAGAACCAGTGGCATCTACGTCTATAGAACGTGAAGAACCAGTGGCATCTACATCTGCAGAACGTGAAGAACCAGTGGCATCTACGTCTATAGAACGTGAAGAAGCAGTGGCATCTACATCTACAAAACATGAAGAACCAGTGGCATCTACATCTGCAGAACGTGAAGAATCAGTGGCATCTACATCTATAGAATGTGAAGAAGCAGTGGCATCTACATCTACAAAACATGAAGAACCAGTGGCATCTACGTCTACAGAACATGAAGAACCAGTGGCATCTGCAGAACGTGAAGAGACAGTGGCATCTACATCTGCAGAACGTGAAGAACCAGTGGCATCTACGTCTACAGAACGTGGAGAACCAGTGGCATCTACATCTGCAGAACGTGAAGAACCAGTGGCATCTACATCTACAGAACGTGAAGAACCAGTGGCATCTACATCTACAGAACGTGAAGAACCAGTGGCATCTACATCTGCAGAACGTGAAGAACCAGTGGCATCTACGTCAACAGGAGATTTTATAACTTTTAAAGCCATCCCCCGTGTTTAGTGTACATACAACACGTTCTGAATTGACGGGAATAAAGTTTGGACTTAACGAACAAATCGACTTACGAACGGACCTCTTGAACCTAACTCTTTCGTAAGTCGAGGAGTCTCTGTATCTCAAAGTAGCAACCCGTGTACGTTCATGGGTTCTGTAGGCGGGCTATCCCATGGCAATGTGATTCAGTAGCGCCTTTGTTTTGTCTGTGCATTTGCATAGTTTTGAGAATAATTTGGCTGGTGGGTTTTTAATTTTATTTACAAAGATGCGCCCCTCCCCATCCACACCCCCCCTCACTCCATTTCCCCATGCAAGTGTTGGCACCCTGGTGATCGCACAGCCTAGCGGTGGCAGCAGTAGCAGCGTTCGCTCCTCCCCCCCCTACACCCCCACTCCCCTCCACGACGTTCTTTCTCTCCTGGCTCTCAGCGACACCACCCCAGAGTCGCCGTCATCGACGATATCAATTTAAAGTGCGCGGCACTTTGCAGGTGCACTCCTGCGGCCGTCTGGAACGCTCTTCACCTTCCGATATGAGTAAGCCCAATGAAACTGCGCACACTTTTAAATCATATGGATTGACCAATTCATATATTTCAGAGCTGCTTTTGTTGTTTTTAGTTTGTTGACCCCCCCCCCCCCACTGGGCCGTCGATTAGCTTTGTGCAGCGCAAAATAAGTCCATACATCTGTGAAATATCGGGCGCGTTTCAAATTGCATCATTATCATTATTATTTAATGCCCTGTTATCTTAGCTGCAAGCGTGAGCCTGCCCTGCACTGCATTTCACTGCTGTCGCAACAAAACAAAAACTCCCAACAGGTTCGTCAATAACTACACGGCGTAGCCTTCAAATGAAAGCGAATATATAGCAGGCGACGGTTCGGGCAATGGGCCTTCCTCAGAGCGCCAATTCACCACAAGTCACGTAGGTAGAGAAATAAAAGTAAATTAAAATAATAATTCACGACGTTTCGACCGCAACACAAGCGGTCGTCCTCAGGGGAAAAAAAATAATCCAGCAGTGAAACTGCTGACTTTACCTTAAGAACCAAAGAGTATGCATTCCTGCAGTCACGAAAGCTTCAAATCAAGATTGCCATGGATCTTATTATAGTTGTGTTTCACCCCCCGCCACAGCCATCACTGCCAAGGGGTCGAGAGGGTGGACGCGCGGGGGGGGGGGGAGTTGACTCTTACCGGGTGACCGTCGCTGAACTCGCTGAACCACGTGCCCAGGGTCTCCCCAGGCCACGACGACATCTTCACCTGTGAAGCACATCAATCGGCATCCTTTATTGTCGCTGTCGCTGTCATCTCCGCTGCCATCAACACCGGCGGCGGCGGCGGCGCCACCGTCGCCATCGTCATCAAGCGCCGTGATCGTCGCGGTCGTTACAGCTGGCGATATGCCGGTGTGGGAAGCTCAGCGTGCTTTGAGAATCGTCATCGTAATCACAACCCCGATTGTCGCTGTCGTCAGCGAAAACCTTGGCAGGGACCCTCCTGAAGGAAGTCATGAGACTCCGCGAGGCCCTCCCGGGGTAACACGCGGCATCGTCACCAATAATAATTTAATAATAATGACGTTTATACATGCCCTGTCAACCCATCACGGTTTACTCCGTATTCTTGGACATGGACATGGAGTTTTCAGGAACATACGGCGTACAGCCATTTCAATACGGGCAAAAATAAATGTCTATTTGTTTGTGTTTCTCCCTCGTGATGGGACTTTGTAGGATGAACGCTGAGATGTATAATGGGACGGGGTGACCAATAAGTTCTGAATTGGTCTGTAATAAGGTAGGGCACTGCTAAGGGGTTAACAGGTTTGGCAGACAAGTCAATTCTCAGGGCTGCTAGAAAGCCCTGACCCAGACAGAGGCCTTCAGATGTTGCTTGAAAGTCGGACTGCATTTGATGTTGCGGACGTGCAAAGGGTTTCACACCGAGGGTGTAACAGTGTATAGTAGTGTAGTGTATAGTTTAGTGTATAGTAGTGTAGTGTATAGTAGTGTATAGTGTAGTGTATAGTAGTGTAGTGTATAGTGTAGTGTATAGTAATGCATAGTGTAGTGTATAGTAGTGTAGTGTATAGTGTAGTGTATAGTAGTGTAGTGTATAGTAGTGTAGTGTATAGTGTAGTGTATAGTAGAGTAGTGTATAGTGTAGTGTATAGTGTAGTGTATAGTAGAGTAGTGTATAGCAGTGTAGTGTATAGTAGAGTAGTAGTGTTTAGTGTAGTGTATAGTAGTGTATGGTGTAGTAGATGTTAGTGTATAGCAGTGTAGTGTATAGTGTAGTGTATAGTGTAGTGTATAGTAGTGTAGTGTATAATAGTGTAGTGTATAGTAGTGTATAGTGTAGTGTATAGCAGTATAGTAGTGTAGTGTATAGTGACGTGAGGCTGTAACAGTTCGAGCCCTTGGTGTCCAAAGCATCATCATCGTCACCATTGTCATCACCGCCATCATCACCGCCATCATCACCATCATCGTCACCATCATCGTCACCATTGTCATCACCAGCGTCGTCACCATCATTGTCACCATCATCGTCACCATTGTCGTCACCAACATCGTCACCATCGTCGTCACCATCGTCGTCACCGCCATCATCACCGCCATCGTCACCGTCACCGCCATCGTCACCGTCACCGTCACCGCCATCGTCGTAACAATGACAGCGGCAGCACGTAAACAGAACCGTCGCGACGTCTCGATCCATTGGCAGGGGTTTGGGGGTGAGACGGTGAGAGGGGGGGAGGGTGGCGAGGGGGGGGGGGGGCGACTCCTCACCGAGGCCGTGCGCTCATCCGGCACGACGCAGGTCTCTCCGCCGCTGGTGAAGTTACAGAAAACCTTGAAGGAGTCTCCGGAGCAGCCCTGGTTCGGGTCGATGTAGTAGTCTCCTGCGCGTGGAGGGGGGGGGGGGGGGGACAAGGGGGGGGAGTGTGCGTGGAGCTTTTGCCTTTGGTACGGGGGGGATCGAGCGTTGTCCCCCCTCGACCTCGCACGCGTGAGGGGGGGGGGGGCATTCTCCCGAGCGCATGCCGGTTTACTCCCCCCGGCTGAGAACAAACTGGATTCGTGCGTGTCACCCCCGTGTGTTATGGACTGAGCGGTGTTGCGAGGTCAAGGATCAAGCTATCGCGGGTGACATCACCGTATAAACATTGAAACGTTATTACATTATGAATGTCAAAATGAGGGTTTTTTTGGGTTAGATCGCGTCAATAGAAATGTGTCGTTAAACCCGCCACCCCGCCCGACACAGCCAATTAGTAAGGTTTGTCACGTAAACAGAACGTACCGATTCGAATCTGTATTCAGATTGTAAATGTTGTGGCTTTGCTCTCCAACACACAACCGGTGTGTGCTGTACTAGTAACGGACTGGCCACGTTCCGTTTACGTGACAAACCCTTTACTGATTGGCTGTGTCGGGCGGTGGCGGATTTAACGACACATTTATATTTACGCAATCTAACCCAAAAACACCCGCATTATGGATGATATTGGTCGTGAAAGCCTACGTGTTAAATAAAAAAAATCCCGCATCCCTCTGATGGTGTCGGCGCCGCAACCGCCGGCAATAGCATTTTTTATTTTCATTTCATCCTACCGACGGCGACATCGACGTCGGCTGTGCGTTGCTCAATTCCCTTGCCAAATCCGGCGAACGCACCGTTGGGGAAGTCCGGGTGGCAGAGCTGCAGGTCCTTGCAGGTGCGCGCCGGGTTGCTCTGCGTGCCCAGCGGGTGCTTGATCTGCTCGATCTCGATCTTGAGCGAGTTGAGCGACGCGAAGATCTCCTCCATGCCGTCCTCGTAGTCCAGGTAGGCGTCCGGATCCGGATCGGCCACCCGGTTGGCGCCGGTGCCGCCGGCGCCGGCGGCGGCGTCGCGACCCCGGCCGGCCGGCGCCTCGCCGTAATCGGAGAAGGGAAGCCGCTCCCCGTCCATGGGCAGGCTGGCGTCCACCGATCGGCGCGACCGGAGCTCGCCCATGAGCGGGAACGGGTTGATGACGTCGCCGGGAGGTCCCTGGGGGAAGGATTGCCGGGGGTGGTGGTGGTGGTGGTGGTGGAGTGTATTTTACATTTGTTTTTTATGACAGAGTGCTTCAAACAGATGGACCCAATTTCAAAGCAGTAAATTTCACGATGGCAACATGTTACAATTACACGAAAAGTTACAAACGGTTTAATGAGTTATTAAGTTTTACTATCCATTTTATAAATGCTCTATGTGCCCTCCACCTGCTGTACGGACAACATCGAGACGATAGTTGAATTCGTCCAAAACGCCTCTCTTCTAACGTTTTACTCTGAGGTGCGTGGTCACCCTGTGCTCTTCCCCTTACATCAACAGCCTGCTTCCTCAAATTGTCGGTACCAACGACGAATGCTCTTTGACATTGGCGGATCAATGCCGAAACACCGTTGAAATGCATGCTGCACCGTAATTACGAATTCAGTCTTGCAGAACTGCAGAACGCAAAACGCCTTGTGAATGACTAAGGCTAGGGGCTGTTTGTGCGCTGGAAGAGGCATCTAGCGGTAATCATTTTAAACGCTATGCCCCACCCTTTCAGTGAAAAGAGTTTCATTCATGGGCGGTTCGTGGTTGCAGAGATTTAGCGATTTCAAATCGGGTCCAGCATTTTCAAACACCCGGTATATTTAATCTCATTATATACTTTTTTATTATTACGGATGCTTAGAAACGGGCTCACATGGGCCGACAGGCTCCAAGGCCCAACACAGAAGCCGCTCGCCCTAAGGCCCCGAAAATCTGACGCTCTCTAAAAAGCTCGCACGGTCACAATGTGTCGGCACGGAATTGGCGCAACTCACGGGAGGGCCGGGAGCTCCTGGGGGGCCCAGTTCACCTTTGGGACCGGATGCCCCCTAGAATGAACACACGCACACACGCACAATGAATATTACACGCCACACAAGCTAGAAGATTAGAACACCGGCAAACCGTATAAAAGGTCGGGGCGTCCGACTTGCTGGGTGGACGATGGGGGTTACGGGCAGATGTGCGAGTAGGTCGGTTAAGTGTACCCACCCCGTCATAAAATAAAGAGTTGGTATCTGTGGGACATTTTTTTCTTTGCTAAACATGCCCTGAGCTTGTTTGCCATGTTTGCATGCAAACAAAAATGCTCCGAGCATGCATTTCAAAGACAATGAATATACTACCAGTGAATGATCTTTGTTTGCATGTTAACCACAGAATGTGTGGTTAATGCAGACATGATACCTTGCAAGAGGCTTCTGTTTGGTGTTCTAACATCTTGTATTGCCAGAAAGGGTGAAACCGCTTCTTATATTTTGATGCTGGCAAAGGAGGGCTGCTCACCCCGAGCTCTCAATGCCCTGACAGTGGCATTGTCTTTGTGCTGTTCGCCTTTTGGCGTCCTCTGGTCTGACACTGTTTGAGACTGGGCTCTAAAGAAAGCTGTCTCTGGTGTGGACCAATCAGATTCAAAGACAATGCATCATCATACACTACCAGAGCGTTTTTTTTCATGTTCACTATAAGTACCGTGTGTGGTTAATGCAGTACGTGATTGCGAAAGGTTTCTGTTCGGTGTCATAACATCTTAACACCGCCTGTTGAATTGCCAGACAGGGTAAAACCTATTCTTCCAATGGCCCCAGCTCGCTGTCGTCAATTACGCTCTTATCCTGGGCACCTCCTGAGAGCAGCCGACCTGGCGCCGGCAAAAAAGAAACCGAGCCGAACGCCAGACCTCCCGACCGCGGAGAGGCGATGCGCCACGCTCGGTAGATAAAACGTGGAGGCAAAAGAGAAAAAAAAGCATCAACGCGTGGCTTCTGCAACGCGTCAGTCCCTGGAAGTAATTAATTAGTGGAACGTGAGCCCAACAGGAAGCTGTCAGGGCAAATGGAACGAATTTGCATGTTCGCAAATTATTTTAAATTTCTTCCTCTTTTGATTCGAGTCTCCCGAGATTTTTCGGGAGACTCGAATTCCGCCAGCGGCAACGCGACTTTGCACGAGAGTCACATGCAATCGCGAGCGTCTCCGACCGCGGCACCACGAGTTACCGTAATCGCTCCGCCCCACTCCGCCCCACTCCGCCCCACTGGGAGGACGCACGGGCAGACGGACGAACGTACGGACACACCCGGCCAGATGGGGAAAAGCGGACAGACATGGGCAGATGGCATCCATGGATAGACAGAGAGACCGACGAAGCCAATGCCGTAAAATTCCAGCTTTTTTTCCCCAACCGAAGTTGCCTGCCGAAGCGTTAAAAAAAGCTAAAACCGTGGCAGCCAACTTGTTGACGTGAATATTGATATTCCTGGGCTCCACCACGATGAAATGCTAAAAGCTCCATTAGCCAACGGCGGGCATCGCGGTCACATCGTGTCTGTTCCCCCCTAACGAGTACTCCTGTCAAGACTCCGGCCTGCGGCAGGAGCCGACGTCAGCCGTAAGCCGGTCTCGGCGGAAAGAGCCCACCTGCTTCCTCCGTCCGGAAAAAAAGAACTAAACATTAAAGCCCATTAAAACGACAAGCAGGCGCCACTTAACTGAAGCCATCACGCACACCCCTACACTACCCCTCCCACCACCACTGCCCGGAAAAAAAAAATCCCGCGATAGAACGCGTCAGGAACGTCGTCGCTGACGTCTCGATCAACGACACGGGACCCCGTGCACGCGCTCGCGAACGTACAAAATACAATTTTTTTTATTAATCGGCGTTGTCCGCGCAGGCGACCGCTTTGCGTGTCCCCTAGCGCCGTAGAACTCAACGAGAGAGCGTGGTGGGGGGGGGGGCAGTGCCGGATTATCGTAGTAGCAAAAGTAACTACCTATGTAGCTACGGGCCCCGCACTTTAAAGGGCCCCGCGCTTAACACTTTCAAGCTATCATCAAGTCCGGTTCAGTGATTCTGCATTTGCTCTATTACTATAGTACTATACCGCCTTCGACTTTTATGAACGACTGGGTGATTAAGTTTAGCGATTTGTCGTATTATCTGGCTGCATAGCAAATGAAAACGATACAATTACTTTACCGTGCAAATAAAAAATGTGTGTTTTAATATTTATGTGTTTTTTATATTTAGGGCCCCTTTATAACATCATTCTACAGGCCCACGCACTAACTTCATCCGGCACTGGGTGGGGGGAGAGAGATGAGAGAGAGGAGAAAGAGCAGATGGGGGAGAGGAGGGAGAGGAGGGAGAGAGAGCGCGGAAGGTGGCAGCAACCACCTTAAAACTGGAGCTCGCGGAACTAGATTCAAGCCAAGCCTCAACTGTGGCGTCGACATTGTGGATGGGGTTCATACTTAATTTGGAGCTTTCGTGACTGCAGGAATTACTTTTTGGCTCTTTCGGTAAAGTCGTGGTTTCTCTGTGTGCCTATGCACGTCTCTCTCTCTCTCTATGTATCTCTGTGTTATCTCTCTCTGCTTATATGTATGTCTATATGTTTCTGGTTCTGTGTTTTATCTCTCTCTCAAATTTAGCATTCTCAGGAAGAACGTAATCAACCAGGTAGGGTGTTGACTGTTTGTGTTTCTATTTCATTTATACCTGATGATAATTGCTCGTGTTGCAATGGAAACGTCGTATGCTAGTATTTAATTTATTATTTTCTCTTTATACGTGACTTTACCGAAAGAACCAAAGAGTAATTTTGGATGGGTTAAAGTGGCTGACCTCGATTATTCTGACACCCCCACCCCCTCTCTATCTGCTGCTGCTGCAGCCATCACAAGCCTGTTCATGTCGTCAGTAAAAGCCCCACGTGAGAACGCAGATTTCCGGAGAAGATTGTTCGTTCAATGGATTGGTCACCAGATTTCGATTGCACGCAATTCAAATTGTTTATCGGCCATGTACATATAATGTCTCTGCTTTTTATATGAAACCCTCCCGTCGGAATCCAGCCCTCCCGTGTGACTTGCCTGCTACAGAATCGTAATCTTTATTTAGATTGCGGGAGGAATCCGATAAACTCTGAAGCTCATTTTCACAGTAGGGACACGGGGTCAGCGAGTTATGGCCGGGTCACCACTGAGAAAGAGCTACTTAGCTCAATGGGCCTTACACAGAGCCCATGGGTCTCTATGTGAGTCTATGGGTCTCTATGTGAGTCTATGGGTCTCTGTTGTGAGTCTATGGGTCTCTGTTGTGAGTCTATGGGTCTCTGTTGTGAGTCTATGGGTCTCTGTTGTGAGTCTATGGGTCTCTGTTGTGAGTCTATGGGTCTCTGTGTGAGTCTATGGGTCTCTGTTGTGAGTCTATGGGTCTCTATGTGAGTCTATGGGTCTCTGTGTGAGTCTATGGGTCTCTGTTGTGAGTCTATGGGTCTCTGTTGTGAGTCTATGGGTCTCTATGTGAGTCTATGGGTCTCTGTTGTGAGTCTATGGGTCTCTGTTGTGAGTCAATGGGGTTTCTATGTGAGTCTATGTGTCTCTGTTGTGAGTCTATGGGTCTCTCTGTGAGTCTATGGGTCTCTGTTGTGAGTCTATGGGGTCTCTATGTGAGTCTATGGGTCTCTGTTGTGAGTCTATGGGTCTCTATGTGAGTCTATGGGTCTCTATGTGAGTCTATGGGTCTCTATGTGAGTCTATGGGTCTCTGTTGTGAGTCTATGGGTCTCTGTTGTGAGTCTATGGGTCTCTGTGTGAGTCTATGGGTCTCTATGTGAGTCTATGGGTCTCTATGTGAGTCTATGGGGTCTCCGTTGTGAGTCTATGGGTCTCTATGTGAGTCTATGGATCTCTATGTGAGTGTATGGGGTCTCTGTTGTGAGCCAATGGGGTCTCTATGTGAGTCTATGGGTCTCTGTTGCGAGTCCACGGGGTCTCTATGTGAGTTTATTGGTCTATATGTGAGTCTATGGGTCTCTATTGTGAGTATATGAGTCTCCATGTGAGTCTATGGGTCTCTGTTATGAATCTATGGGTCTCTATGTGAGTCTATGGGTCTTTGTTGTGAGTCTATGGGTCTCCATGTGAGTCTATGGGTCTCCATGTGAGTCTATGGGTCTCTATATGAGTCTATGGGTCTCTATGTGAGTCTATGGGTCTCTATGTGAGTCTATGGATCTCTATGTGAGTCTATGGGTCTCTGTTGTGAGTCTATGGGTCTCTGTTGTGAGTCAATGGGTCTCTATGTGAGTCTATGGGTCTCTATGTGAGTCTATGGGTCTCTGTTGTGAGTCTATGGGTCTCTGTTGTGAGTCAATGGGTCTCTATGTGAGTCTATGGATCTCTATGTGAGTCTATGGGTCTCTGTTGTGAGTCTATGGGTCTCTGTTGTGAGTCAATGGGTCTCTATGTGAGTCTATGGGTCTCTATGTGAGTCTATGGGTCTCTGTTGTGAGTCTATGGGTCTCTGTTGTGAGTCTATGTGTCTCTGTTGTGAGTCAATGGGTCTCTATGTGAGTCTATGGGGGTCTGTTGTGAGTCTATGGGTCTCTGTTGTGAGTCTATAGGTCTCTGTTGTGAGTCTATGGGTCTCTATGTCAGTCTATGGGTCTCTATGTGAGTCTATGGGTCTCTATGTGAGTCTATGGGTCTCTATGTGAGTCTATGGGTCTCTGTTGTGAGCCAATGGGGTCTCTATGTGAGTCTATGGGTCTCTATGTGAGTGTATGGGTCTCTGTTGCAAGTCTATGGGGTCTCTATGTGAGTCTATGGGGTCTCCATGCGAGTCTATGGGTCTCTATGTGAGTCTATGGGTCTCTGTTATGAGTCTATGGGGTCTCTATGTGAGTCTATGGGTCTCTGTTGTGAGTCTATGGGGTCTCTATGTGAGCCTATGGGTCTCTATGTGAGTCTATGGGGTCTCTGTTGTGAGTATATGGGTCTCTGTTGTGAGTCTATGGGTCTCTATGTGAGTCTATGGGTCTCTGTTATGAGTCTATGGGGTATCTATGTGAGTCTAAGGGTCTCTGTTGTGAGTCTATGGGTCTCTATGCGAGTCTATGGGTCTCTATGTGAGCCTATGGGTCTCTATGTGAGTCTATGGGGTCTCTGTTGTGAGTATATGGGTCTCTGTTGTGAGTCTATGGGTCTCTATGTGAGTCTATGGGTCTCTGTTGCAAGTCTATGGGGTCTATATGTGAGTCTATGGGGTCTCCATGCGAGTCTATGGGTCTCTATGCGAGTCTATGGGTCTCTATGTGAGTCTTTTAAGTCTCTACGTGAGTCTATGGGTCTCTGTTATGAGTCTATTGGGTCTCTATGTGAGTCTATGGGTCTCTGTTGTGAGTCTATGGGGTCTCTATGTGAGCCTATGGGTCTCTATGTGAGTCTATGGGGTCTCTGTTGTGAGTATATGGGTCTCTGTTGTGAGTCTATGGGTCTCTATGTGAGTCTATGGGTCTCTGTTGTGAGTCTATGGGTCTCTATGTGAGTCTATGGGTCTCTGTTGTGAGTCTATGGGGGTCTGTTGTGAGTCTATGGGTCTCTGTTGTGAGTATATGGGTCTCTGTTGTGAGTCTATGGGTCTCTGTTGTGAGTCTATGGGTCTCTGTGTGAGTCTATGGGTCTCTGTTGTGAGTCTATGGGTCTCTATGTGAGTCTATGGGTCTCTGTTGTGAGTCTATGGGGGTCTGTTGTGAGTCTATGGGTCTCTGTTGTGAGTCTATGGGTCTCTGTTGTGAGTCTATGGGTCTCTGTTGTGAGTCTATGGGTCTCTGTGTGAGTCTATGGGTCTCTATGTGAGTCTATGGGTCTCTGTTGTGAGTCTATGGGGGTCTCCATGTGAGTCTATGGGTCTCCATGTGAGTCTATGGGTCTCTGTGTGAGTCTATGGGTCTCTACGCGAGTCTATGGGTCTCTGTTGTGAGTCTATGGGTCTCTATGTGAGTCTATGGGTCTCTCTTGTGAGCCAATGGGTCTCTATGTGAGTCTATGGGTCTCTATGTGAGTGTATGGGGTCTCTGTTGTGAGTCTATGGGTCTCTATGTCAGTCTATGAAGTCTCTACGCGAGTCTATGGGTCTCTGTTGTGAGTCTATGGGTCTCTATGTGAGTCTATGGGTCTCTGTTGTGAGTCTATGGGTCTCTATGTGAGTCTATGGGTCTCTGTTGTGAGTCTATGGGTCTCTATGTGAGTCTATGGGTCTCTGTGTGAGTCTATGGGTCTCTATTGTGAGTCTATGGGTCTCTATGTGAGTCTATGGGTCTCGATGTGAGTCTATGGGTCTCTATTGTGAGTCTATGGGTCTCTATGTCAGTCTATGGGTCTCTGTTGTGAGTCTATGGGTCTCTATTGTGAGTCTATGGGTCTCCGTGCGAGTCTATGGGTCTCCATGTGAGTCTATGGGTCTCTGTTGCGAGTCTATGGGTCTCTATGTGAGTCTATGGGTCTCGATGTGAGTCTATGGGTCTCTATGTGAGTCTATGGGTCTCGATGTGAGTCTATGGGTCTCTGTTGCGAGTCTATGGGTCTCTATGTGAGTATATGGGTCTCCATGTGAGTCTATGGGTCTCTATGTGAGTCTATGGGTCTCGATGTGAGTCTATGGGTCTCTGTTGCGAGTCTATGGGTCTCTATGTGAGTCTATGGGTCTCGATGTGAGTCTATGGGTCTCTGTGTGAGTCTATGGGTCTCTATGTGAGTCTATGGGTCTCCATGTGAGTCTATGGGTCTCTGTTGCGAGTCTATGGGTCTCTATGTGAGTCTATGGTGACCGCGCTGAAATCATCAACTCGCTGCTTCAGAGAATCCCGACCAATCTCGGCAATGCCGGTTGGGCAACGGAACTGGAGGGGAGGAGGGGGGGGGGGGGGGTCAGTCGGGTAGAGGGGGGGGGGGGTCAGGGGGAGAGAGGGAGGGGGTCACGCGGGGGGGGGGGGGGCCCTTTTGTGGGGTCGTCGCCACGATCGTCATTAGCGAGCTCGTACCGTTGAACCCTTGGCACCCTTTGGTCCTGGCGGGCCCTGCAAACACACGCACACGCGCACACAAACACAAAGGTGAAGACACGCACGTTGCCCCACCGTGTAGCCTCGACAACAGACCGTCCTCGGGCAAGCGCTGTCAAGCGAGCGGCCCGTGACGGTGCACCGCGACCTCGGCCAGCCTTTGCCTCCCAATGGGGGTTGCGCGTTTGAGGCCGAGTCAACCTAGGGGGCCGACCGGTGCAGACGAGCGGCAGCGTCGGACGCGAATCGCTGCGGCCAACCGCTCCCCCCTGCCCCCCCCCCCCCGCCCCGCGAAGATGATGGACGCGCTTTCCAGCGCGAGCCCACGCGGGCAAGCGAGCGGCAAACACCGCCATCAATAAAGCAGCTCTATTAAACATTTACGCGCACGCAGACGGCCGGAATGGTGGAGACGGTGGCGGCGGCGGCGGCGGTGGGGGGGGGGGATGGCGACGGAGCGAGTGAGCGCGCGGCGTGGGGGAAAGCGATAAAAAATCAAGCGAAGACCGCGAGCGGACAACTCGCGGCGTCAACGCTCGCCAATTTGATTGGCGAATTTGGCTGGCGATGGTTTCCCGCGGGGTCGTCGGGAGGTGAGCGTAGAGCCCGCGCTTTGACGGATTAACTTTTTTTGCCGTGGTAAAATTTTTGTTGAACAAAAATTACATATTCGTCTGTGTCACACGCCAACTCGAGCAGGTGCCGGGAAGATTTTGGCTCCGCGCGAAATCGGCGGGGCTGCCGCTGCCGCCGCGCGTTTTCTCGCTTTTGTTTTGACGTAAACGCCTGCAAGCCCCGTCCCATCGTCTGCGGTGGCGTGCTCACACTCCAGGAACGCCGGCCGCTGTCACGATTTTTATGGGGAGAGACCAAAAAATAAAAATACACGCATCGTATCTTAATGCCGTCACACGCCGACTCAACGCGGGTGTCCAAAGATTTTGCCTCTCCGGCGATGTCGTTTCCGCTGCCGCCGGTTCTTTTAAATTATTATTCTAAATCATCATTATTATTATTACGTGGACATCTGCAGCCCCTTTTCGTCTGTGGCGGCGCTCCAGGGACAGCGCACACGGTCACGATTTGCGGAGGAGAAATACAAAAAAAACGGCGACCTGAACGACACGCACGGCGAGGAGCGCGGAGGAGCGCGAAGGGACACACGCTCGGAATCGCAATGAGAGGCTGGAGAGGGCGAGAGAGGGAGAGAGAGAGAGAGAGAGAGAAAGAGAAAGAGGGGAACACGTGGATTAGAGGGGGGTTTGGTAACGAGGTTCACACAGGAAAAAAGTAAGATGGGGCTTGGAAGGATTTGGGGGGGGGGTGGGTCAGTGGGGGGCTTGGGAAGGACTTGGGGGTGGGGGTGGGTCAGTAGGGGGCTTGGGAAAGACTCAGAGTCAGTTGGGGGGGGGGGGGGCTTGGGAAAGACCACGTCGCTCGTTCTAGGAGCGGCAATGGTCGATGTGCGGAAACGGCAGCCAAGGATCGGAAACTCATCCGGGAGGGCGACCACCGACGTGGAGATGGAGCGATGCGACGACCTCGCACGCGCGGTGCCGGGCGGAATGGTAAACCACGGATCACCGGCACAGGTGCCGCAAAGGCTTTTACTTCCCGCGGGTGTCAAGGAGGGGCCCGCTACACCCCCCGCGCTCGCGAGGAGCAGGCAGTGGAGCAAGTAGGCCGCACGTGTTTTTTTGTGTTTGTGCGCGTGGCTTCTACTCCCCCCCCCCCAGACACACGCGCAGACACACACGTGGATAACCACTCTGCCGATTTGGGCCCACCACACCTTTCAATATACACAGAGGACCACAAAGCTTGGGGGGCAATTGACGTGGCTCTCCTGCTGCTGCTGCCTTCCCAAGCCTCCGAGTCGCCCCCCCCCCCCTTCTCGCTCTCTCTCCGTAAGCAATCGAGGCAGCGTCCAGCGTGGCAGCGTGCCGTCATTGCCCATCGTGGGAATACAAATATATTATTACACTGTGTAACAAAACAAATGTTTTATTTTTTTGCCCCTGGGTAGGAAGTGTTATTTTGTAATTACTTATGCCTCAATAGTACAGAAAATGGCAGTGATATTTACCTATTTTCAATGAGAAAACGTGGTGTGAATGTGTTATTTCTTCGCGTAAAGTCCTGGTCACAAAAGCAAAGTTTGTGGGGAATAATCGCCATTTTCTGTACTTTTGAGGCGTAAGCAATTAGAAATTAACACTTTCTACCCAGGGGCAAAGATCGTGTTTCATCGTGAATTATCAATTCATCCTTACGATGAGCCACGTGTGTGCGTCGCAGGCGACAACGACGGGGAGGGGGGGACGAATCCCCCCCCCTCACCCCCACAAGGCCGGACGCGGGGCTCAGCTCTGGCCTTGGGGGAGATGCGGAGAGAGGGGGGGGGGGGAGAGAGGGGGGAGAGAGGGGGAGAGAGGGGGGGGGGGAGTGGGGGGAGAGTAGAAAAGAGTGGGGGGGGGGAGAGTGAGAGGGAGGGGGGGAAAGAGTGGGAGAGAGTGAGAGAGAGTGGGGGAGAGAGTGGGGGGAGAGTGGGAGAGAGTGGGAGAGAGGGCGGGGGGGTGGGAGAGAGTGGGAGAGAGGGCGGGGGGGGTGGGAGAGAGGGGAGGGGGGGGAGTGGGAGAGAGGGGGAGAGAGTGGGAGAGAGGGGGGGGTAGGATGGAAGAGCAGTGGGCGAGAGTGGGAGGAGAGGGGGGAGAGAGGGGGTGTAGAGTGGGGGGGGGGGGATGGCGGAGCGTGGGGAGAGATGGGAGAGATGGGAGTGAGAAGTGGGAGAGAGGGGGATGGGGGGGTGGGAGAGATGGGAGGAAGAGTGGGAGAGTGGATGAGACGGGGGGGGAGGAGTGGGAGAGAGGGGGAGGGAGTGGGAGAGAGGGGGAGAGAGTGGGGAGGGGGGAGAGAGAGGGGGGTAGAGTGGGGGGAGAGACGTGACAAGAGATGATCCACCGTGCAGGGAAAACGTTGTGGCCATGAAAAATGAATGAGACGGGGGGGGGGGAGAGAGAGGGAGGGATGCAGGGTGGGGGCGCATCCAATTAAACTCCCCGCAAGATCCGTCTGAACACAGGAGTGGGGGGGGAGGGGGTGACATGGGGGGGGGGTGGAGGGTAAAATGAATATTCAGTGTAGCGGGGCAGGTGAATGTATAATTCACGTCCTGCGATGCGCAGATCGTGAGTTCTGCTGTGTGAAGTTTCCAAGTGAGCCGGTACTTTTTATATCTTGCGGAGGGCGAGGCAAAGGCGCAGCCTGCCAACGCTGGCTCGCACCACCGCTGGAGGTAGAGCCTGGAGGGTGATTGGCCCACTCGTCCACATTGACCCAATCGTGCGAGAGAAGAAGTGCGAGTGGGCGTGGGTGGGTTTACCCACACTACCACCGCACCAGCCGGGGGGGGGGGGGGGGTCGACCGCTCACAGGGAGACACACAGGGGGACACTTAGGGGGTCAAGGCGGAGACACGGGAATTCAGGGGCCATGGTGCAGGGGGTCACTCAGGGGTTCAAGACGGAGACACGGGAATTCAGGGGCCGTGGT